GGGGGGGGGGCAGTGTGTTGAAATTTGACAAAACATGCAAAGGTAACGCAATTTATAAGAATCCCAATTAGTGCTTTCCACCCACCCACCCCCCCCCCGCCCTCAAACCAAGGCTCCCAGTCACACCTTTTTTTCACGCCCCTGAATTATATTAATATTCTAATGACCCACCCGCGTTTTTCACCGCAAAAAAAAAAAAAGCAAGCCAAGAAAATATTACGCACCAAACGCTATTGCGATATTTTCTTGAAAGAATCTCATTCAGCGCAGTTATTGGGAGTATTCGTGAAATCGCTGTCGACATATTTCCTTCATATTCCCCTTGAAAAACAGGGAAATTGATTTTGTAGGGGTTCTGTGATGGGGGGTAGGGTGGTTCTGAAAATTTGATAGAGTATATTGTCATTAGCAACGAGTGGATGTGAGAAGTTTCAGCTCGATGGGTTGACATGAAGTCCGTCAGTTAGTTGTCAGAAGCTTTTGCCCGCCACGAACTGAAGGGAAGTCAATATAAATTATAATTTATTTTTTTTTTAAAAAGGAGTTAAATTAAATTTGGATACATATTTATTTACAACCGCCAAGCGGAGATGGTCTCAGAGGCGACACGAGTCTTGCTAAATGTTACACTTTGCTAGAGCTGGTTGTCAGCGGAGATGGTCTCAGAGGCGACACAAGTCTTGCTAAATGTTACACTTTGCTAGAGCTGGTTGTCAGCGGAGATGGTCTCAGAGGCGACACAAGTCTTGCTAAATGGTACACTTTGCTAGAGCTGGTTGTCAGCGGAGATGGTCTCAGAGGCGACACAAGTCTTGCTAAATGTTACACTTTGCTAGAGCTGGTTGTCAGCGGAGATGGTCTCAGAGGCGACACAAGTCTAGCTAAATGTTACACTTTGCTAAAGCTGGTTGTCAGCGGAGATGGTCTCAGAGGCGACACAAGTCTTGCTAAATGTTACACTTTGCTAGAGCTGGTTGTCGCATACATGCCATTTCACTTTACTGCAGCTGCCTGCCAACATTAAAACCATGGATGTAATGTAAGTCTAACGACCGCAGTGCATTCAATCCCGTTACTTGTATGTGCTATTTAGTCCAAATAGCATACAACTGAGCACCGAGTCTTTTTTCAAAGCGACTATGACTGTAAGGTATTTCTGATCCCGATGTTGTGGTGTGTATGTGTGGCGCCAAACCATGAGACGTGGTGTGTGTGTGTGTGTGTGGCGCCAAACCATGAGACGTGGTGTGTGAGTGTGGCGCCAAACCATGAGACGTGGTGTGTGTGTGTGTGTGTGTGTGTGTGTGTGTCGACGAGTCGGACAGAGAATCTTCGTATTTTAAAATAATAATAATAATAATAATTCTTATTTTCTTATAAGACATCTAATAATTCTGTGGAGTGGTGTGTATGTGTGGCGCCAAACCATGAGACGTGGTGTGTGTGTGTGTGTGTGGCGCCAAACCATGAGCCGTGGTGTGTGTGTGTGGCGCCAAACCATGAGACGTGGTGTGTGTGTGTGTGTGTGTGTGTGTGTGTGTCGACGAGTCGGACAAAGAATCTTCGTATTTTAAAATAATAATAATAATAATAATTCTTATTTTCTTATAAGACATCTAATAATTCTGTGGAATAAGCAAGGAGTATTTATTCTTAACTTTATTTCAACTATTGCTCTAAATCTTAATTAATATATTAAATTGATTTCTCAAGGTTGAACGGGGCGAACATTTCGTTGTGCTTTTGTGTTTTGTAATCAACGTAGCGCCATATTTCCTCACAAGTCTATTTCAGTACAACCTCGCGCGTTTTAAGTTTGCTCAAAAGTTCTTTGATGCGCGAAACGTAACTTAAGGTGGATTATCGTCCCTTCAGATCGCTAAGTCTCAAACTGTCTGATCGTGTGATCCGCACTTAAGTCATCTCATCTAAACAAAATCAAACCCTTATTGAAACAGTCAGTTTACGCGGGGGGGAGGGGGGCGGTGGGGGACATGTACATTTTATTAAGAATCCTTCTTTTCTTCTCAAGAACATTTTGTAAGTCTACCTGGGAGATTATTGCCTGGCAGTTAAATAGGTCAAGGCCGCACATTCAAGATTCGGGAAGCTATTTGAAGCAATCTCGCCCAAACCGGAAGTTACGTCTGGCCACGCAAGTGTTTCTGGATTAAGATTCCCAGTAATTTCCGGTTATCAAATACTGATGTATATATATATATTTTGATGTATAAATATATATTGGGACATGTCTTTTTTTTAAACATTGACATAATAAGTTAAAGGCCAGGTGCACGGGAATTTCAAGTTTCTAAACGAGTGTTACATTTTCTACTCACCAACGTTTAACTCTATGTTCTGTGTCATTGTTAGCTCTGTGCAAATTTTCTCGTGTTTGCTCTAGTTAACAGTACTCAGCTTTTCTGAAACCTGGTCCAGTTAATAATAATCATCTTTTCTCTCTCCTGGTCTAGTTAGCAATACTCATCTTCTCTGAGCCCTGATCGAGTTAAAAATACTCAGCTTTTCTCAGTTCTGGTCCAGTTAACAACACTCATCTTTTCTCCGTTGTTGTCCAGTTAACGATGCTCTTCTTTTCTCCGTTGTGGTCCAGTTAACAATACTCATCTTTTCTCCGTTGTGGTCCAGTTCACAATACTCATCTTTTCTCCGTTGTTGTCCAGTTAACGATGCTCTTCTTTTCTCCGTTGTGGTC